TATAGGCAAAAAACTGTTAATTCTATAGTAATTTCATATAAAATAATATAGCCAATAGTTTTTTGCCAATATCTTTTTATCCAGTGATCCAAATTAAATAATTTTGGTACCATTGGATTCCTCTCACTGAAACGAATCCAATGGTACCAAATTCATCCAATTTGGACTACTGGGTCACGAGATATTAATATTTTTATAAAAAAATTATGTTATTTTTCTTCAACCCCCTCTAACTTAGCAAAAAACGTAAAAAAAACATTATTTTTGTGAAACCCCTCTTCCCCTCTTGTATAATGTTATTTATGGATGCCCTCTTATTACAAAAGATAAATTCAGATTGCAAACTTACTTATATATATAAAACAAATAAATGAATATTTTATTGAATATACAAAACAAACAAACAGATCTGTGAAATACAAACAGGGGTATTCATGTAGTTTTAATTAATTTAGGAGTTCATATTTTATTTATATAGCATTCTCCAACAAAAGACATGGGCAAGATAGGTGAATATAATATAGGATATATTTTTTATTTATATAAATACATAAATGATTTCATATCAAAAAAGTATAAACTAGTATCTTCAAACTCAAAACGTAAAAAGAAAAAACAATACATGTTGACAGGGCTGTTTTCTGTATAATACTAAAGATCAAACAACTTCAGAATAAAATTCATCGAAAAACAATCAAATTTTTAACCGATGAATTTGACATGATTATTATTCCTTCTTTTGAGATATCAAACATGGTAAACAGAAAGACATGAAAGATAACAAGAAAATCTGTTAAAAAGATGCTCATTATAGGTTTTGACAAAGGTTAATTTCAAAAGCTGAAGAGAATGAAGTTCATGTGTTAATGCAAAATGAAGCTTACACATCAAAGACATGTAGCTGGTGTGGAAACATTCAGAATATTAGAGAATTAGAAACATATAAATGCAAGAATTGTGGCATCGAAATAGATAGAGATATCAATGGCGCCCGAGGGATATTCCTTCGGGCTTTGCTTGATGGAGCCATGATTTTGTCTTAAGACAGCTTCATGCAGGAAATAATATCATTACTTAGTATTGATTATTATTGATACGTTAAAATCCATCCGTATTGTTATAATGTTATGATAATAAAATGATATTAGGTAATCTCTAGAATCGCCATAAAAAATGTTGCTGATGTCATAATCATTATGAAATGAATTTACGTATTGCCTATCGTTTATGTAACTAAAAAGTGAAAATTTTAATAGCAAGAAAAAAAATTAGCAACCTTTCCAAAGTATCAAATGAATGAACGAGAATTTCAAATGCGAAATACGACACTAGGAGTGAATTAGCTATTAGTTTCAAAGATGTTAATTTGACTAAGATTAACGATGACGTCAATACATTTTTTACGAAAGATGCTAGAGTCATTGATAATACGGATTTAATTAAAATATAATTGTATTTTCAATTTGGTTTTAAAAATATGTATTAAGAAAAACCACTTCATACCGTTTTAAGCAAAAGGCATTCTAATCATTAATAATTCAATAATTCAATAATTTAATAATTTAATAATTCAATAATTCAATAATTCAATAATTTAATAATTTAATAATTTAATAATTCAATAATTCAATAATTTAATAATTAATAATTTAACAATTTAATAATTTAATAATTAATAATTTAGTAATTCAATAATTAATAATTTAATAATGCAATAAATAAAGAGAAACAAAATGTTTCGTTTCTTTAATAAAGAATGAACTAAATATTTCGTTTCTTTAATAAAGAATGAACTAAATGCAGCAAAGTCAAGGTGTGCGACTATCTTTATTCAGGACGTCAACGAAATGCAGATTGAGGATCAATGCCAGTCCTTGCAGTCTATAGTTCAATTAAAAATGACATGTTGGTCTCATCTTAATTGAGACTAATGGAATGACATATTATTCTCTTTCAATTGATATTAATGGATTAACTTACATTAATGGGTTATCATTTTTTCTATATTGATGTTCTTTGCAAAATATTTATTATAGTAGATCTATTTTCTACTTTATTTCCTAAAATTATTCTATATTAAATTTTCTATAATTATATTCATTCTTATACAAATATTTTAACCGATAGGACATTGCTTTGAGCGACTGTACAGCAGATTGTCAGGAAGATGGTTTTTATTTTTTTTGTCTCAACAACACTTTTGCTTACATTCGACTTTTAAGGAATCATAATTAATCTTGATACTTTTGATTTGTTATCGTCAAAATAGTATTTTATACGCAGTTGTAAAAAAAAAATTTTTTTTATCACTATTTAACAAATTTCGGTAAATACAAACATCGGTAAATACCGATTCTTTTTTTCCTCATGTTTGGAAGCTTAATTGATCCACACTATGCATACTATGGGCACTAACAAATATGTGAAAATTGAGTCAATGCTAATGCAGGTATGTAATTAAGAGAGATTGCGACATTCATCAGATGTCTACGCGCCACGGCTAACCATTTTAATCTGGTTTAAATTATACAAACTACATATTCGCAACAATCTATATTATACTGTACCTAGAATAAATATATGCTCTATAAGTATATATGAATATAATATATATATTTGGATGAGTACCGAGAAAAAGGATGGATTTAACAAACAATTATAAAGTATATTTTATATTGTAAGCTCCATAATAAAAAAGAACCATGGTATAAACTTTAATTAATTTTATTTTATATAAAAAATGATTTTATGTTTATTTTAAATATATTAAAGAATATAAAAGAATGGTTTTGGTAAAATTTCAATTTAGTCCCTTTTCCCAGTCCCATTACCTAGCCATTTATTTATTTAGTTATTTATTTTATTTATTGTATTTATTGTATTTGTTGTATTTATTTTTTATTTATTATTTATTTTATTTATTTTGTTGCAAAATTGAATTAATTAGTCCAATCGTTGTTTGCAGACCCAATAAACCAATAAGATTATTCTTGAACAAAAAATGCGTCATAAATTTTAAACAATCCTGACATCATTATTTTAGAATTGCCTTATTTAGTGAAGATCATATAAAATATATATATCTATTCTATAATTAAATTTCAGAATAAACAATTAAATTCCTATGTTTATTCTAAGGTTAATCGTAATTTTTATGAATCTAAAATACGTAATTGTGTAATACAGTAATACCTGCAATCGATTTTACATTGGAGTCGGAAAAATTACTATTAACTTATTCATGATTATCACGAGTAAAGAATAAAAATAATATTATCGGTTGTTTAATATTGATATTACCCATGAAAGTCTAACTACAGTATATAGCAAAAATTATCCATTATTAGATTACTCAACTCGAATTGAACGCCCAACAATCGACTGAAAATGATCTTGTATAACAAATTACTTTACCTGTGATACGCAATTCACCAACAAATTTATATTTAAACACGAAATTCAACTTGAAATTTTTGTGGCTGTTACGTAATACATACTAATATTGGCCTGCTTCTAGTACGCCCGGCATAAACAAAAAACTACGTGTATTACGTGTATTATGTAATGTTTCCCGTTTCTCCATTTTGTTACGTATTTATTTATATAACAATACAAATTATTAACTGGTTATTATCACAGAAATGGAATCTTTTTAATTGTTTAAACCTTCCGGGTTTGGTAATGATGAAAAGTGGTTTTTTTTCCTGGGGTTTCTTATCTAAAGTGCTTTCATCAAAGTTGAATCCCAGTCTTTTTGAAAATTGTCCCACTTTATTACATTGTTATTGCCATTATTATTATTATTTGTAAAACAAAAAAAAAAAAAAAAATCCATATTTTTAATTCTTATATACGTATTTCTCTGACATATATAATTTAATAATCTAAAAAGATTTTAAAATATCCGTATGCATATTCATTTAGCCAAAATTTTACCTCAAGTACTTGTATTTTATTAGAGATTCTAACACTTATACGATAGCATTCAAAGAAAAAAATAATAATTTTTTTTTTGTTTAGTATATAAAATTTATCACATCAAAAAAGTATTCGGTATGTGAATTTTTAATATATACCATACTACTGTAAGGGTTATTATTGATCTTTTGTTATTAATAAATATATGCGTTTACATTTCTTTTGATGCATATATGCGTAGTCATGAATAAATGCGAAAATTATTCGTCATATTCACCTTCCTCGACACGTCCTTTTATATTCTATCAATCCTCTTCAATATCAGCATCCGCTCAATCCAATAATTCAATTCAACCGTATAAACAGTCTCTTACATTTTCTCAACAAAGATTTATTAACCCATCCATTTCAACTTTACAAAATTGTTTATTCACTATAGTTCCTATTGAAATTTTTATAATAATATGTTCACATTTAACTCCATGGGATTTATTATCTCTCTTGAAAACTTGTCGCAAATTTCACAATTATTTATGTTCTTCCATTTCTTCAACTACTCATTTAATTTGGAGATCATCTCGACTAAATACAATATTCTTTCCTAAAATTCCTCCTCCAGAAGGTCTCAATGAACGTGAATATTGTTGTATATTAATGATTGAAAAAGGTTGTCAATTTTGTGGTCGAAATGGTTGTAGGGATGTACGAATCTATTGGACATTTAGGGTTAGATCATGTTGGGATTGTTTAATGAAGCGAACTGTTTGTGTTGAAAGGTAAGTCTATTATAATTAATTATTATGCTTATTACTTATTAATGAATTTATTTTAAAGTATAAAAAAAAAATAAGAATGAATTTATTAAAATAATAATAATTTTATTATTATTATTAATATTATTATTATCTAAAAAAAAAAAAATAGGGGTAATGAAATTCCTGAATATGCAAGTGGTTTACCATTTACTAAATTCAGATTAAATGGTATGTATGGTTCTGAATACATAGTTTTCTGGGCTGATTCCGTAACTCGCGCAAAATACGATTTCGATAATCTTTCGGAAACTGATCGTACGGAATGGATACGAATTTCAAAACAACGTTCTAAAGAAATTGAGATTGATTCTATGTATCGTGAAAAACTTGATCAAGAATTATATGATTTAGCAATGTATCATAAAAAATGTCAAATTCTTTTATATTATGAACTTTTAGCTTCTGAATCAAGTCCAAATGGAAAAATACTCTATAATCGTTATTTTTTAGATATGTGCCCTTCTTTAAATGAAGTAATGTTATTACCAAATCATTTATTTGCTCGGTTAGATTATGATAGTTGGAAAATTAAAATGTTGGAAGAGTATCGAAATATTGAATTGGAACGAAGAATAATTCCAAAACGTTATAATCAAATTAAAGAAAGATTGGTTTATTCCCCGCTGTATAAACGTCCTGCTATCTATTGGATACAATATTGTCCTACTTATAAATCTCCTCCGTATCATAATAATGACGCAAGAATTCCATGGAATGACAAGTTTTTAGATAGTGTACTTATACCGAGAATTATGACTGAGGCTACATTATGTGCGAAACAAGCTGATGACGCCGTTCTTGTGCTAAAGTTTATCGAAGATCTTTTATGTATGAGGATTAGAACGGTAAGAGATGCGTTAGTGCATGGACTTGGTAATGTTGAAATGTTTAGATGTAATTTATGTGGCAATGTGAGGTCTAACGATATTAGTGCCAATGTGAGATTTAATGACAATAATGGCGATTGTGACAATTTGAGGTTTAATAATAGTGACAATTTGAGGTTTAATAACAATAATGACAATTTGAGGTTTAATAACAATAGTGGCAATTGGAGGTTTACTGGCAATAATGACAATAGTTTAGATTATGTAGACAATTCGACAATGTTATATAATTATGTTAATGTCAAACAGCATATTTACTTAAAACATTGGAATTGGTACCAAAATTTTTATGAAAGATGTGAGGATATCTGCATAGAAATAGATATGAAAATGGTACGCAATTTTTTAATAAGCTGTTCAAACCATTGGTTTTGGCATGGTATATATCCTTACAAATTACCGGTTGATTTGGCTGCAATTTTAGCGAATAGAAGGATGATTTGGTGGAATTAATTTATCATTAATATTAATAATATTATTATTAATTTTAATTACCTTTTTTCAATAACTTTGTTTTATATAATTTTTAATTGTAACTTGTAAATAATCTTTATTACACGTAATACGTACGTACGTACGTGCGTATGTACTGTACGTACGTAGTACGTGGTACTTGTGAATCATAAATATTATCACGTGTATATGACGCAACAAATACGTCATTCTCTTTAAATAATTTGACCATAACAAAATTAGGCTCTCTAAGCCTATATGTTCAGCCATTAGGTATCGACACAGAAAGTCGATCCATATATACGAGTATGTGGATGCTATTGACTAATAATGTTTGTTCAATATCGATATGTTTTTCAAATATATTAAAAATGCCTATATTTAAATAATTATACACCGTCTTCTATAAAAGTATTCGTACACCTTTAATTTCCTTAATATATTATACAGCATTACTATAAGGAATTTAAAGTGTATGAATACCTTCACCTCCGACTACCATCCCGTGGCGCCTTCCTTTTTAGCTGCCTTAATTTCACGTTTTCCCCATCTTTTTTGATCTCTACCAGATTCTTTTAAATACTCTTTACGCGTTAGTTTACCGATCGTTTCCTTATTATATAGTAAATATGCATGTTAAATTTCTTAATCATTAAAACAAATCGAATAATAGAAAAGCACACAAACTTTAATCTTTCCAACGACCGCTTCCTTAGCCCCATGTACTAAGGATGGCTTCTCAAATGTAACATCATCTTGTGGTGGTAATGCATAAAATGATATGTCAGTGGCAGGTGTATTGACTATAGAAGAAAAAGGTTTGTTATTAGATTCTGATGACCATAAATCTGTTTGGGATATAGATTGATCTGAAGGAAGCCGGGTAATCGGACCTTCTGTATACAAGAATGATTAATGAATCAATTATTAATGTAAATGCAATCAATTTCTTTTATTAAAAAAAAAAAAAAAAGTCCTTGCATTACTTGGCATAACTGCAGCACCAACCCATCCAGCTTGTTGAGGATCATTTAAAACGTCTTCAGAATACAAATTCGACATTTTTTTTTGCTGATAAAAAATGTTGAAATATAGTTCGTTAAAGAACTTTTGTCACTTGCCAGTATATATTAAAAATTATCATTATATATTTGAAAATTTTGAAAATTATCAGCATATATTAAAAAAATTAATAATACACCATGATTGGTTACAGGTTTCACTATTACGTATCATTTCTTTTGATATAACATTTGCGTCATAATTACTATTCTGAGATCAAATTGATAAAATTACGTATAAATATTTAAACTTGTCTTTGCCAAACTTGTTTTTGAACAATCTTTTAAGCGGTACTTATTTTTCGTAAAAGTCAAAATACTCAATTAGGATTAGGGTTTTTGTTTTATTTATCAAACGTTCGAGATTGCACTAGAATTTCCTATATAAAGTATAACGAAATATAACGATATTATCTAAAATATTTTGAAATTGGCATTTTAACAAGTCGCATCAGGTTTCGTTTTTTAAACTTATTAGCGTTTAATGTTAAAAAGGTTTACTACTTTTTAGAAATGACTGCAATATGATAGGCATTTTTAATTACTGAAAATTTCTTTGAAAGAGAAAACTAAATGCATGAACATATGAATGTGTCACAATTCAAAGTACCTTAAAACAAATTGATGTCTAAACAACTCTGTATCATGTTTTTAATATCTTGGCAACTCAATGTCAAATTATTGACAAAGTGAAATTCGATTCTTAATAAAAATTGAATAGCTCGAATCTAAGTATTGGATCATGATATCTCACATAAATGCCTATCTTCGTCATAATACCTTTACCATCTCTGAGATACTGAATGCCCTATAAAAAAAATTTTGCAAAACATACCCGGCGCTACCCAGGTTATCGTTCCGAAAAATGTTTATTTTTGATAAAAATCCTGGTAATATTCGGTTCCTAATTTACCAGGGTTTACAAAATAACCAGGAAATTTTTTCTAAGTAGGGAATGGAGTAAAAGTCGCAAATTATGACGAGATATTTATTGTTCAAAGGTAGGACTGGATTACATAAATTTTAATTTTGTAATTTTACGTAAGCTTCAGAAAATTAAATTTCACCACGCTATACGTAAAGTACTAAACAAACCTAGTTTCGCCCATAAAAAAATTTAGCTAACGCCACTTGTAAATATAATAACGACTATCGCTATTTTTAAATTTGATTTCGTAATTATGAGACACGTGACGCGTGTAAACTCAATTTATCTTCATTAGGCCATCCAAATTGATTCATAAAAACAAATATTTCGTAATAATCCACCAAAAATACGGTGATTCTATTGGCTGTAAAAATATAAAAAATCCAAAAAGTCAATACTGCAATTTGATTGGTTAATATGGTGTTGTTCTTTTTTTATAAAATAGTATATAGGGAATTATGTTAAACATATAGAATCAATTTGGAGCGGCCTTATTACCATATATCACAAATGACATCAGCTAAATCTTTTATGTGCAACGCCAGATTTACAAAGTTCGGCCGGTATTATTACATCATTTGGTTTGATGTACGATCCGAACTGTAACTTCTAAGTCGCCGTTCAAAATTAATAAAATTACGCAATTTTACATTCCTAATTGAAGGTGACATAGCCGCACGTGCCCTAATTCTGCAATACTCTAACTCATTTGAGGTTAATACTATTCATATTTGCGTCGATAAGTAGCATGGATGGTAAATGACCTGAATGACCCAAATGACAAATGACTAGTCATTTGTCATTTCAAGACACAAATGAACTTAGAAGGTCATTTAACATATGGGTCTATATTTGATTTTCAAGACAAAGACCCCATATGTTAGTTAATATTCTAATCAATCAGAATTGGCCGTCAAACAAAATTAAATTTAATCAATAATAATAGTTATATATCAAAATCAAAAATTTATAATATTTTATGCCTTAAGTAAAGTTATTCAGGATAATAAATTGCATGTATATTGAAATTTTCATTATAAATTGAATAACTTTTTATTAATTTACTCTCACATATTATGTTTACACGAAAAAAATATTTTTTCATATAAACGTAAGACGCGGAAGTGAATTAATAAAAAGTTATTCAATTAACTTAAAAATTTCAGAACATATGCAATTTATTATCCAGAACAACTTTACTTAAGGCAAAAAATATTAATTGACTTAGTAAAATTTTAATTCTAATAGGAATTCTAAAAATAGCTTTCTTTAGACAATGGACTACGGACTTTAAATGATACTAATATGTGATCAAAAAACAGTATAATTTATTATTCTAGTCAGATCGGTTAAAAGCCCGCATTCCATTGTCTAAAGAAATCTATTTTTAGAATTCCTGGTTTTCACTTGGCGGCACCCATATATGACTTTATATGAGTAATTCAACCAATAAAATTACTTTATATACAAATGACCCAAATGACCTGGTAATGACCTGGGCCATTTAAATTTTGATCAAATGACCAGGTAGGACTATAGATGCAGACATTTAGTTATTTTTTTACATCACCCTTTCGTCATACAAAATTTATATATAATGTTAATACGTCATATCTAATACGTCACGTCAATACGTTATAGTATATGTTAATAGTAGGTTAGTGATGTCCAAAAAATTTTACCATTTTGTGTAACCCGGCATTGCAGATCTCTCCGGTTCATCTCGGAAAATGACGATTTAATGTTTGTGAACCCTAAATTTTACCCCTGAATTTTTTGTTTATTTTTAGATACAAGTTACTA